ACAGGAGAGAGATAGAAAGAGAGAGAAGATAGAAGAGAGAGAGAGAGAGGAAAGAGAGACAAGACTAGATATATAATATATATATTATATATATAATATATATTATATATAGTATATGAGATTAGATAGATAGAGAGAGAATGGAGAGGAGCGGTTGGGGATGGAAGAGGAGAGAGATGGAGAGAGAGAGAGAGAGAGAGAGAGAGAGAAGAGAGAGAGAGAGAAAGAGAATGAGAGAGAGGAGACGAGAGAGAGAGAGAGAGAGAGAGAGAGAGAGAGAGAGAGAGAGAATGGGAAAAGAGAGGGGGGGGATGGAAGAGAGAGAGAGGTGGGAGGGTGAGATAGAATTTATACCATGCTCATGCATAAAGATAAAACGCAAAATAGCAAGGTGTAGTTGCAGCCGACGTGAAAGCATGCAAGAAGTGTCATAACTTGTCATGTCAACCTATGCCTGAGTCAACAGAATGTTAATTACAATTAATATGTTAATTTACAGAGAAGAGAGAGAGAGAGACAGCAGAAGAGAGAGAGAAATGAAAAGGACAGAAAAAAGGAGAAACAGGACAGAAAGAGAGAAAAAAAAACAGAATAGAAAAAGGGAGATACAGACAGAAAAGAAGAGCAAAAAAAAATTGAAAAAGAGAGATACAGACAGAAAGAGAAAGAAAAACAAAACAGATAGAAAAAGAGAGATACAGACAGAAAGAGAGAGAAAAAAAACAGACAGAAAAAGAGAGACACAGACAGAAAGAGAGAGAAAAAAAACGATAGACAAGAGAGAAACAGACAAGAAGAGAGAGAAAAAAACAGATTGAAAAAGAGAGAAACAGACAGAAGAGAGAGAAAAAAACAGATAGAAAAAGAGAGATACAGACAGAAAGAGAGAGAGAGAAAAAAAACAGATTGAAAAAGAGAGAATACAGACAGAAATAGGAGAGAAAAAAACAGATAGAAAAAGGGAGATACAGACAGAAGAGAGAGAGAAAAAAAACAGACAGAAAAAGCGAGAAACTGACAGAAGAGAAAGAGAAAAACAGACAGAAAGAGAGAAAAAGAGAGAACAGACAGAAAGAGAGAGAACGAGAGAAAGTCTAAGTAAAGTCTATTAAGTTGAAGTCATATTCAAGTCATATTTTATCGTATCGTTAATTCATTTGTGATAGTGATGAAAACAAAATCTAAAATTAGTTGCATTATTTATATGAAAGAATCTAAAACATTTTAATTGTTTCACTTTCTCTCTCTCTCTCTTCTCTCCTCTCTCTCTCTCTCTCTCTCTCTCTCTCCTCCTCTCTCTTCCATCTCTCCTCTCTCTCTCTCTCTCTCTCTCTCTCTTTTTTTTTTTTTTTTTTTTTTTTTTTTTGTTGTTTTTTTGCTTATTGTTGATATAATCCATTAATAATCCTAGTATTAGTAGCCGCAATAACAGTATCTTTACCAAATAGTCACCACCATCCTTATCATAGCCCAATCCATGAACATTCCCCGATAAGCCAACCAATCAGCCGGATAATCATAACATATTATATACATCCATTTAAATAACCCTTTTAATAAACACAACTTACCGAACAGAAGTATAACGAAGCCGGATAACGAAGAGCACTTAAGTGGCCGTGTTCACAGACTAGAAGCAAGGCTGGGACTAACTCTTTGCTTCAGTATATATACCGAGATTAAGTGTGTTTTTTTCTGGGACATACCATGGTTCTGTAACACTTCCTGTAGTGGTGAGTGGGTAGAGATAAGAAAATAGGTACGTTGATTTTTTTGTTTGTTTGTTTGTGTGTGTGGTGTGTGGGAAAGAGTATGTGCGTGAGAAAGAGTCTGTTCTGGTGTGGGAGGGGGGATGGGAGTGTGTGTGTGAGAAAGAGTGTTGTGTGTGTTTGTGTGTGTGTGTGTGTGTGTGTGTGTGTGTGATAGTTGTGAAAGGTATGGTGTGTGGGAAAGAGTATGTGTGTGAGAGAGGGAGAGTTTGTGAAAAAGAAGAGTGTGTATGGGGTTGGTCATGTTTTTTTTTTTTTACATGTTTGTGTGTATTCATTCACAAACGCGCAACCATTAAAAATTTCGCTACCTCCCTGACCCCGCCCCCACATACATACAACATAACAAACCCACTCTCGCCTCCCTCCCCTCCCCTCCCTACTCGGACCCCCCCTCCCCTCCCAAACACATACACAAACAACCCAACTCTCCCTCCCCCCTCCCCTCCTTTCCACCTCCCCCCACTCACCCACTCTCGCTTCCCTACACAAACTCATCCCCCTCCTCCTCCCCACCCCCCCCCCACTACATACACAAACAACCCACCCACCTACCCCCCCTCCCCTCCCACACCCCTGCCCTGCCCGCCCCTCCCCCACCCATACACAAACAACCCACCCAATCCCCTATCCTCCCTCCCTCCCTTCCCTTCCCCTCCCCTCCCCTCCTTCCCTCCCCTCCCTCCCTACACCTGCCCCTCTCCTCCCTACCCCTCCCTCCCCTTACCTACCCCCTGCCCCCCCCCACACCTTTGCGTCTAGACAACTTTCTCCCCGTACCTCGACCAAGCAACGTACTCCTGGCAGGAATTCCTCTTTTCTGAAATAAATAACAATAATAATAAATAAAAAAAAAACATTTCCTTTTACGTTTCTGCAGGAATTCTCTTTTTTGAAATAAAGAATAACAATAATAATAAAAAAAAAAACATTTCCTCTTACGTTTCTGCAGGAATTCCTCTTTTTTAAATAAAGATAACAATAATAATAAAAAAAAACATTTCCTCTTACGTTTCTGCAGGAATTCCTCTTTTTTTGAAGATAAATACTAGATTAAAAGAAAAAACATTTCCTCTTACGTTCTGCAGGATTCCTCTTTTGAAATTAAAGATAACATAAATAATAAAAAAAAAAACATTTCCTTACGTTTCTGCAGGAATTTCTCTTTTTGAAATAAGATAATATAAAATAAAAAAAAAAAAATTTCCTCTTACGTTTCTGCAGGAATTTCCTCTTTTTGAAATAAAGATAACATAAATAATTAACAAAAAAACATTTCCTCTTACGTTTCTGCAGGAATCCCTTTTTTGAATAAAGATAACAATAAAATAACAAAAAAACATTTCTCTTACGTTTCTGCAGGAATTCCTCTTTTTTTTTAAATAAAGATAACAATAATAATTAAAAGAAAAAAACAAAAACATTTCCTCTTACGTTTCTGCAGGAATTCCTCTTTTTTGAAATAAAGATAACAATAATAATTAAAATTAAAAAAACATTTCCTTTTACGTTTCTGCAGGAATTCCTCTTTTTGAAATAAAGATAACAATAATAATTAAAAAAAAAAACAAAAAACATTTCCTCTTACGTTTCTGCAGGAATTCCTCTTTTTTTGAAGTAAAGATAACAATAATAAAAAAAAAACATTTCCTCTTACGTTTCTGCAGGAATTCCTCTCTTTTAAATAAAGATAACAATAATAATAATAACAATAAAAACATTTTCCTTTACGTTTCTGCAGGAATTCCTCTTTTTGAAATAAAGATAACAATAATAATAACAAAAAAAAAACATTTCCTTTTACGTTTTCTGTGACGATAATCTCAAAAACTTTACCGACTTTACGTAAGAATGTTGTCTCTGAACTTACACCCGAATTCTTTCCTTTTTGATGTCAACACGAATGTTATCTATTTTTTTTAACTGCTTTCTCTAAATTTGGTCTATTCATTGTTCATATGTGTGTGTGTGTGTTTTGTGTATAATATACATATCCATATAAAATACACACACACACACACACACACACACACACACACACACACACACACAATTACATATATATATATATATATATATATTATATATATATATATATATATATATATATATATATATATATATATATATATGTATGTATGTATATATGTATGTGTGTGTGTGTGTGTTGTGTGTGTATGGTAAATTAATATTCTGTTCCATTCATCTGTTAATTATCTATTACCAGCTGTATCCTTATTATCATTATCATCACTACAACAGCCAGCATTGCTCCGGTCATCATGAATTCTCTGTTCACTGTCTGTTCATTGTCTGTTCATTCTCTGTTCATTCTCTGTTCATTGTCTATTCATTGTCTGTCATCTCTATTCATTGTCTGTTCATTGTCTGTTCATTGTCTGTTCATTTCTATTCATTCTCTGTTCATTCTACTGTTCATTGTCTGTTTCATTGTCTGTTCATTCTCTGTTCATTGTCTGTTCATTGTCTGTTCATTCTCTGTTCAATGTCATTCATTGTCTGTTCATTGTCTGTTCATTCTCTGTTCATTGTCTGTTCATTGTTGTTCATTCTCTTTCGTTCATTCCTCTGTTCAATGTCAGTTCATTGTCTGTTCATTGTCTGTTCATTCCTATTCATTGTCTGTTCATTGTCGTTCATTGTCTACATTCCTGTTCATCATTGTCTGTTCATTCTCTGTTCATTGTCTGTTCATTGTCTGTTCATTCTCTGTTCAATGTCAGTTCATTGTCTGTTCATTGTCTGTTCATTGCTCTGTTCATTGTCTGTTCATTCTTCTGTTCATTCTCTGTTCATTGTCTGTTCATTCTCTGTTCCATGTTCAGTTCATTGTCTGGTTGTCTTCTCTGTTCATGTCATTTCTCTCTGTCATTGTCTTCATTGTCTTTTTTGTCTGTTCATGTCTGTTCATGTTCTTCATTGTCATCATTCTCTGTTCATTGTCTGTTCATTGTCTGTTCATTCTCTGTTCATTGTCTGTTCATTGTCTGTTCATTGTCTGTTCATTCTCTGTTCATTCTCTGTTCATTCTCTGTTCATTCTCTGTTCACTCTCTGTTCATTCTCTGTTCATTCTCTGTTCATCTGTTCATTCTCTGTTCATTCTCTGTTCATTCTTCATTGTCTGTTCATTCTCGTTTCATTGTCTGTTCATTCTCTGTTCTTCTCTGTTCACTCTGTTCATTCCGTTCATTCTCTGTTCATTTCTCTGTTCATTCTCTGTTTCATTCTCTGTTCATTCTCTGTTCTTCTGTTCATTCTCTGTTCATTGTCTGTTCATTCTCTGTTCATTCTCTGTTCATTCTCTCTGTTCATTCTCTGTTCATTCTCTGTTCATTCTCTGTTCATTGTCTGTTCATTGTCTGTTCATTCTCTGTTCATTGTCTTGTTCATTCTCTGTTCATGTCTGTTCATTTCTCTGTTCAATTGTCTGTTTCATTCTCTGTTCACTGTTCATTCTCTGTTCATTGTCTCCGTTCATTCTCTGCTTCATTGTCTGTTCATTGTCTGTTCATTCTCTGTTCATTCTCTGTTCATTCTCTGTTCATTGTCTGTTCATTGTCTGTTCATTTTCTGTTCATTCTCTGTTCATTCTCTGTTCATTGTCTGTTCATTTTCTGTTCATTCTCTGTTCATTCTTCTGTTCATTGTCTGTTCATTGTCTGTTCATGTCTGTTCATTCTCTGTTCATTGTCTGTTCATTGCTCTGTTCATTCTCTGTTCATGTCTCTGTTCATTCTCTGTTCATTCTCTGTTCATTGTCTGATTCATTGTCTGTTCATTCTCTGTTCTCCTTGTCTGTTCATTGTCTGTTCATTCTCTGTTCATTCTCTGTTCATTCTCTGTTCATTCTCTGTTCATTGTCTGTTCATTCTCTGTTCATTCTCTGTTCATTCTCTGTTCATTGTCTGTTCTTCTCTGTTCATTGTCTGTTCATTTGTCTGTTCATTCTCTGTTCATTCTCTGTTCATTCTCTGTTCATTTCTCTGTTCATTCTCTGTTTCATTCTCTGTTCATTCTCTCTGTTCATTCTCTGTTCATTCTCTGTTCTTGTCTGTTCATTCTCTGTTTCATTCCTGTCTGTTCATTCTCTGTTCATTTCTCTGTTCATTCTCTGTTCATTCTCTGTTCATTCTCTGTTCATTGTCTGTTCATTCTCTGTTCATTCTCTGTCATTCTCTGTTCATTCTCTGTTCATTCTCTGTTCATTCTCTGTTCATTCTCTGTTCATTCTCCGTTCATTCTCTGTTCATTCTCTGTTCATTCTCTGTTCATTCATTCTCTGTTCATTCTCTTCATTGTCTGTTCATTCTCTCTTCATTCTCTGTTCATTTCTCTGTTCATTCTCTGTTCATTCTCTGTTCATTCTCTGTCCTCATTCTCTGTTCATTCTCTGTTCATTCTCTGTCATTCTCGTTCATTCTCTGTTCTTTCTCCGTTCATTCTCTGTTCATTCTCCGTTCATTCTCTGTTCATTCTTCTGTTCAATTCTCTGTTCATTTCTCTGTTCATTCTCTGTTCATTCTCTGTTCATTCTCTGTTCATTCTCTGTTCATTCTCTGTTCTTGTCTGTTCATTCTCTGTTCATTCTCTGTCATGTCTGTTCATTCCTGTTCATTCTCTATTCTCTGTTCTGTTCATTCTCTGTTCATTCTCTGTTCATTCTCATTCTGTCTGTTCATTCTCTGTCATTCTCTGTTTCATTCTTCTCTCTGTTCATTCTTCTGTTCATTCTCTGTTCATTCTCTGTTCATTCTTCTGTTCATTTCTGTCATTCTCTGTTCATTCTCTGTTCTGTCTGTTCATTCTCTGTTCATTCTCTTGTTCATTCTCTGTTCATTCTCTGTTCTCTCTGTTCTTGTTCTGTTCTCATTCTTGTCTGTTCATTCTCTGTTCATTCTCCTCTTGTCTGTTCATTCTCTGTTCATTCTCTATTCTTGTCTGTTCACTCTCTGTTCATTGTCTGTTCATTCTCTGTTCATTCTTCTCATTTCTCTGTTCATTCTCTGTTCATTCTCTGTTCATTCTCTGTTCATTCTCTGTTCTTGTCTGTTCATTCTCTGTTCATTCTCTGTTCATTCTCTGTTCATTCTCTGTTCATTCTCTTCATTGTCTGTTCATCTCTGTTCATTCTCTGTTCATTCTCATTCTTGTTCTGTTCATTCTCTGTTCATTCTCTGTCATTCTCTATTCTTGTCTGTTCATTCTCTGTTCATTCTCTGTTTCATTCTCTGTTCATTCTCTGTTCATTGTTCTGTTCATTCTCTTTCATTCTCTGTTTCATTCTCTGTTCATTCTCTCTCTGTTCATTCTCTGTTCATTCTCTGTTCATTCTCATTTCTCTGTTTTCTCTGTTCATTCTCTGTTTCATTCTCTGTTCATTCTTCTGTTCATTCTCTGTTCATTCTCTGTTCATTCTCTGTTCATTGTCTTTCTCTCTGTTCATTGTCTGTTCATTCTCTGTTCATCTGTTCATTCTCTGTTCATTCTCTATTCATTCTCTGTTCATTCTCTGTTCATTCTCATCTTGTCTGTTCATTCTCTGTTCATTCTCTGTTCATTCTCATTTCGTCTGTTCATTCTCTGTTCATTCTCTGTTCTCTCATTCTTGTCTGTTCATTCTCTGTTCATTCTCTGTTCATTCTCATTCTTGTCTGTTCATTCTCTTGTTCATTCTCTGTTCATTCTCTATTCTTCTCTGTTCATTCTCTGTTCATTCTCTGTTCATTCTCTGTTCTTGTCTGTTCATTCTCTGTTCATTCTCTGTTCATTGTCTGTTCATTCTCTGTTCATTCTCTGTTCATTCTCTCATTCTTTGTCTGTTCATTCTCTGTTCATTTCTGTTCATTCATTCTGTTCATTCTCTGTTCATCTCTGTTCATTCTCTGTTCATCTTCTTTCATTCTCTGTTCATTCTCTGTTCATTCTCTGTTCTTGTCTGTTCATTCTCTGTTCATTTCTGTCTCTGTTCATTCTTGTGTTCATTCTCTGTTCATTCTCTGTTCATTCTCTGTTCATTCTCTGTTCATTCTCTGTTCATTGTCTGTTCATTCTCTGTTCATTCTCTGTTCATTCTCTGTTCTGTTCATTCTTCTGTTCTCTGTTCATTCTCTGTTTATTCTCTGTTCATTCTCTTGTTCATTTCATGTTCATTCTCTGTTCATTCTCTGTTCATTCTCTGTTCATTCTCGTGTTCATTCTCTGTTCATTCCTCTGTTCATTCTCTGTTTCATTCTGTTCATTGTCTGTTCATTTCTGTTCATCTCTGATCATTGTCTGTTCTCTGTTCATTCTCTGTTCATTGTCTTGTTCATTCTGTTCATTGTCTTGTTTCATTCTCTGTCTGTTCATTCTCTGTTCATTCATTCTCTGCTTCATTCTCTGCTGTCATTCTCTGTTCATTCTCTGTTATTGTCTGTTCATTGTCTGTTCATTCTCTGTTCATCTGTTCATTCTCTGTCTGTTCATTCTCTGTTATTCTCTGTTCATTTCTCTGTTCATTGTTTGTTTATTCTCTGTTCATCTCTCTTGTCTGTTCATTCTGTTCATTGTCTGTTCATTGTCTTCATTCTCTGTTCATTCCTGTTCATTCTCTTCATTCTCTGTCTCTGTTCATTCTCTCGTTCATTTCTCTGTTCATTGTCTGTTCATTCTCTTTCATTTGTCTATTCATTGTCTCATTCTCGGTTCATTCTCTGTTCTGTGTCATTCTCTGTTTCTCTGTTCATTCTCTGTTCATTCTCTGTTCATTCTTCCTGTTCATTCTCTGTTCATTCTCTGTTCATTGCTCTGTTCATTCTCTGTTTCTCTGTTCATTCCTGTTCATTCTCTGTTCATCATTCTCTGTTCTCTTGTTCATTCAAGCTCAAAAAACGATTGCCAAATACGGTAAGACAGTGACGTCACACACAAATCTAAATCTATAACCTATTTATGTTGTAAAAATCTATATGTTATGAAGACGGACACGTAGTCACACCATTTGCGCATACGTATGAAGGATCGGACACGGCGTTTTATGATTTCGGAAAAATTCAAATGGAGGAAATCTTGATGATTTTTATCTATTATATCTATTTATTTTCTTTCTTTTTTTTAGTTCTACGTTTAGTTGAATTAAATAGATTATGCAGCTGTTTATATATATTTTTTGCTGTAGTTCTTTCATATCTGCAATGTGCAATGGCGTGTTGTAGTTCTGTTGCTTTTGTGATCTTTCTTACCTACATTATCATTGCGCGTGTTGTGTGTTGTGTGTGTGTGTGTGTGTGTGTGTGTGTGTGTGTGTGTGTGTGTGTGTGTGTGTGTGTGTGTGGTGTGTGTGTGTGTGTGTGTTGTGTGTGTGTGTGTGTGTGTGTGTGTGTGTGTGTGTGTGTGTGTCTGTGACTAGCAACGCCATCCCTATGTCGGGATGCTATTTCCTGTGATACTGACTGGAGCACTTTCTTTCTCTCTCTCTCTCTCTCGCTCTCTCTTGCTCTCTTTCTTTCTCTCTCTCTCTCCCGCTCTTTCTCTCTCTCTCGCTCTCTTGCTCTCTTTCTTTTCTATCCCTCTCGCTCTCTTTCTTTTCTCTCTCTCTCTCTCTCGCTCTCTCTTGCTCTCTCTCTTCCTCTCGCTCTCTTTCTTTCTCTCTCTCTCTCGCTCTCTCTCTTGCTCTTCTTTCTCTCCCTCTTGCTCTCTTTCTTTTCTCTCTCTTCTCGCTCTCTCTTGCTCTCTTCTTCTCTCCCTTCGCTCTTTTTTTTCTCTCTCTCTCGCTCGCTCTCTCTTGCATCTCTTTCTTTCTCTCCCTCTCGCTCTCTTCTTTTCTCTCTCTCTCTCGCTCTCTCTTGCTCTCCTCTCGCTCTCTTTCTTTCTCTCTCTCTCTCGCTCGCTCTCGCTCTTTCTTGCTCTCTTGCTCTCTTTCTTTCTCTCTCTTCTCCTCTCTTGCTTCTCTTTCTTTTCTCTCTCTCGCTCTCTCTTGCTCTCTTTCTTTCTCTCCCTCTTCTCTCTTTTCTCCGAATATTCTCCGGGTCGAACCTCGCACCATACTAACAAATGAAAAGAATATGTCTATTAGGTAACGAATGTCCACTAGGTCGGGTTTGGCTCAACAGTGACAAACCGGCCAAAAAAGTCAGGCTAACCGTAGAGACAAGACTGTAGAACTTCCTCGGGCCACTGAACTGTAGGAAAATATGTGCCTCGCTCGTCACCGTTGTTGCAACTCTTACA